CACATAAGTCCATCAAAGAGCAGCTATCATAGCCAAATGACACGTTAACAAATTGTGCATTTTGCTATATCTCCTTTCTTAGTCGTTCTCTATTTCTTACAACCTTTTTCAATTTATCAGACCCCAAGCGTATTTCTGTTTTCAATCTGCCACTGCTATGTCATCGTCAACGAGTTACGTTATGTACCTCATACTTCGTCGCGATTTGATGTCATCCCTCGGATGGCCTCTAGGGGCAGTGTGCACACAGGCGGCTCATGCAGCATCAGCAATTATGTGGTTGTACAAGTACGTATATTTAGTGTGGATCCAATTTATGTAGAAGTAAAAATATAGTCGCTTTCAGAAGTGACCCAAATGTGTTGGAGTATACGAAACAGCTAGATTCTATGCACAAAGTTACATTAGGGGCAAGTCCGAAATAAGTCAATGTAGTCTGATGTCCTAATCTACATTCTTTCAAGTATGTCGTTATTTTAGGTAGATTCGGAAGAGGAGCTGAGAAGGATAGAGGAACGGTTGAAAGGAAAAGAGGTGGATCATAAGGTTCGTTCTTGCCTTTATTTGGGATGAAAAAAGGGCTGCGCGGGAGATCAAAACTTGTGCGTAAAAACAAGTTCTCCAGAGAAGAATGATCAGACTTTCTTTAAATTTTAGTACCTGTTATGGGTATACGTCAGTGATATAAGCCGCTGAAAAGCCATGCAGATGATTACTGTTTCCCAAAATTTCTTCATTCATTACCCACAGAATAGGCAGCCAATGCTTCCCACGGCTAGTTCTGAATTGCGCGATAAAGTGGGGCAACATACTAGAAAAAACGTTTTTGATTCTAACGAACCTGTGGATTTATACTGAATAAGGCGCTTAACATTTTGAAATCAAACCTTTTTAGGTATGGATCGAGGACGGTTATCCAGTTTGCATTGCGTTGAAACCTTATCCGAAGGATCAAGTGAAGAATGTTCTGAAGGGATTGAAACTTTTTTGATTCCTAGTGATTGCGTTATTTATTGACTTTTTGTTGAACTTCAGTCTTACGTTTGAACTGTCGAATAAGCAAATATCATTTTTCACGTA